CTTTTATAAGCATCGTGAATGACTACTCCATTGAAGCCTACAATGAGCTGGAAACTGGATTCCTATGAGGTGAAGAGGGTTTCAAACCAACATGGACTAAAAAGGTGCTGACCATTCGCCTTCAGAGAAGTTATTTGAGCTACAGTTGCTTTTCTTTCAGATTGAACCAACCTGGCCATTCTCCTCTGACCTCTGGGATCAACAAGGCATTTGCGTCTACAGAACAGAGGCTCAGTGGATATTTTCTCAGACCATTCTCTGTAAACCCTAGAGATGGTTGTGTGTGAAAATCCAAGTGGATCAGCAGTTTCTGCCTTTCTGACACCAAGAACCATGTCACATTCAAAGTCACCTAGATCAACTTTCTTTTCCATTATGATGCTTGGTTTTTACTGGTGTTGCACCGATGCCATTTTTTTTTTTGCCCCAATACCGATACCTGGCTGTGCAGTATTGGCCCAGACCGATACCATCTGTTTGAAATTGATGTGTGTACAGGGTTGTTCGTTTGCATGTTTTATTTTTTTTCAAAAATTCGAGAAAATCCTCCACTATACCTTTAATGTTAAATCTCTGGGAAGGTCAAAATATGCCATCCTAGTTAAAATGTACGGACTCTGCCTAAAAGCTGCGTCTCTTAAGCCCAGAATTATGCCAGAACCTTTTGGATCTGTGCTGTATCATGATGAGTTGTGCTAACCCTGAAAGCAGCACCCATTTACATAACCTAGAATGCAAACTGCATTAAAACCCTCTCACCTCTCAACATCTTTGTAAATCACCACAAGTGGCAGCTGATGAAAACACCCAGAGTGTTGGAAACCCTGCTCAAAGTGCATTAAGTGTGAAGTATTTGAAAACTGAGCGTCTCAGCGCTGCGTAAGTGAGCTGCGATCGTCCCGCTGAGCCGAAGCTGGAGCTTGATTGGTTCTGATTAGTGAATAAATCAAACAGGTATCAAATCAAGCTGGACCAATTGCCTCCCACTCACACCTTGATTAGGTTCATGCACCCAAACGCGTTCCCCAGTTGAGAAATCCTCTCCTTTACTTAAGCGCACACACAAACATAAGTCCATTGTGTAATTGCCGAACTATCCCTGCCTTTACCCAAGCCAGCTGTAATTAGCGTGCCAGCCACAATGCTTGTTTGTCAAAAAAAAGAGGAAAAAACACACATCCACATGCACGCAACACTCATCCCATCCTCCATTCGTGCAGCAGCTAACACCCTTTGAAACACCCACACACACGGACGCAGATACCATTCAGCCTTTGCGCTGCGCGTCGCCTGGGGCAGTTATTATTTACAAATCGGCTTGTTTCTCTGTGAAATCTAACCGCGCGCTTTGTGGTTTCTGACACCGTGTTGGGAACTGATTCATCTCACCGTTTACACAGAATTAAAATGTCTACCAACAAAGAGTTGCCTTGTTAAATCATGCCTTACTGATCGGTTTATGGGGCTGAGAGGTTGTTTTTTTTTCCACTTCCCTTGTTACAGTGCATGGATCTGTCAGAGCTCGCACAGCTGACCCGTAGTTAGCTGACATGAACCGTTTAGAAAGATGGAAGACAGATTCACCAATCGACATGTTGGGCCATTTTTATTTTGAGAGAAATTGAACCAGTGGGATGTGATAAAGACTCCATCGGATTGATCTTGTGCGCAGTGTTGCTTGAAGATGTAACTTGTTTGTGTAATTTGTCTTTTGTCTTTCTCATTTCTCATTACTTCAATGCCTTTTTTAATAAAAGAGCAAGACTTAATTAGAAAAAGTAGAAAGAGTGTTTACCAAGCTGCCACTGCAAAATCTAATATAAAATTAGGTTAAAAAGTCACCTATTGGTTAATAGAGCTCACCTTGATTAAAGCCTGGACATTAATTAGGCCATTGTAAAACTTTATGCTTTTATTTAAAGATTTCTGCATATTTTCTTCCAGATTTGCACCCCTAGCATCATTTATGAACAGCTTTACCCACTGCATGATTCTGCCACTACCATGCTTCATCCTACGAATGCAAATTCAAAGTGTTCATGTTGGTCACCCACAGAGAAGAGAAACAGAAGAGCTTTTAAGTTCAGAAGTGTTTGTGTGGGTTGCTCTTGTCCACACAGCTAATAAATCACTGAGAAAATAATAATCAGAAAAGAGGCGCTGGAAACCAGGAGGAATCCATATTTTGTCTTAAGACTAATTTAGTCAAAATAATCCACCAGTTGGGGGACCTTCAGGAGTGTGAAACAATGCACTAATCAGCAAACAATGCGCTGATGCTGCACATCAAACAGTTAACCTCTACAGACTTCTGCTAATGAGCTAATTTGAGTCAGCTGTGTTGAAGCAGAGATGCATCTAAATTTCAAAGAACACCGGCTGTTTGAGAGCACTGCTCTATGCTAGGTCAGAGAAGAGCAACAGGAAGAGAGGTAGGATTGTTTCACCTTTGTTTGTTTTAATTTTTCCCTGTTAGAGCGCTATCTTTGTTACCTCACATCATTCAGAGCATGTCCAGTCAGTATTAGAGGCCCTGTCGACAGGAGCTCCTTCACAGAGCAACATTCTGCAGGCTGACAGTGCTGCTAATCTTGTGATGTGAGTAGGATGCACAACCCTTTAGGTCACTATTTTTATGTCAAAGATTTCTTTTTTATTTCCTGCACAATCAAAAAGTATATTTTCATGTATTAAACTGTTAAAATTCCAATCCTTTGCTTACTTTCATGAGGATGCATTTTTGCAGAGATAATGTTAGCATATCTTCATTAGAAGTGTTTGTTTTTTTTAGGCTGACCTTTAACTTGTTCATTTGTGCTTTCTACAAGCTTCCTTACAAATGTTCCACTAACACATGTGATATCAGGGATTACAGCAAGAAAAATCCTGAGCCTGAACTTTTTCGACACTGGCAAGAAACTCATATACACTCACCGGACACTTTATTAGGTACACCTGTCCAACTGCTCGTTAACACTTAATTTCTAAGCAGCCAATCACATGGCGGCAACTCAGTGCATTCAGGCATGTAGACATGGTCAAGACAATCTCCTGCAGTTCAAACCGAGCATCAGTATGGGGAAGAAAGGTGATTTGAGTGACTTTGAATGTGGCATGATTGTTGGTGCCAGAAGGGCTGGTCTGAGTATTTCAGAAACTGCTGATCTACTGGGATTTTCACGCACAACCATCTCTAGGGTTTACAGAGAATGGTCCGAAAAAGAAAAAAACATCCAGTGAGCGGCAGTTCTGTGGGCGGAAATGCCTTGTTGATGCCAGAGGTCAGAGGACGTCAGAGGAGACTGACCTCTGACTGGTTCGAGCTGATAGAAGGGCAACAGTGACTCAAATAACCACCCGTTACAACCAAGGTGGGCAGAAGAGCACCTCTGAACGCACAGTACGTCGAACTTTGAGGCAGATGGGCTACAGCAGCAGAAGACCACACCGGGTGCCACTCCTTTCAGCTAAGAACAGGAAACTGAGGCTACAATTTGCACAAGCTCATCGAAATTGGACAATAGAAGATTGGAAAAACGTTGCCTGGTCTGATGAGTCTCGATTTCTGCTGCGACATTCGGATGGTAGGGTCAGAATTTGGCGTCTACAACATGAAAGCATGGATCCATCCTGCCTTGTATCAACGGTTCAGGCTGGTGGTGGTGGTGTCATGGTGTGGGGAATATTTTCTTGGCACTCTTTGGGCCCCTTGGTACCAATTGAGCATCGTTGCAACGCCACAGCCTACCTGAGTATTGTTGCTGACCATGTGTGGAACGGGAGATTCGCATCATGGATGTGCAGCCGACAAATCTGCGGCAACTGTGTGAATCCATCATGTCAATATGGACCAAACTCCCTGAGGAATGCTTCCAGCACCTTGTTGAATCTCTGCCACGAAGAATTGAGGCAGTTCTGAAGGCAAAAGGGGGTCCAACCCGTTACTAGCATGGGGTACCTAATAAAGTGGCCGGTGAGTGTATATACACTACCGTTCAAAAGTTTGGGGTTACATTGAAATGTCCTTATTTTTGAAGGAAAGGCACTGTACTTTTCAATGAAGATAACCTTAAAGTAGTCTTAACTTTAAAGAAATACACTCTATACATTGCTAATGTGGTAAATGACTATTCTAGCTGCAAATGTCTGGTTTTTGGTGCAATATCAACATAGTTGTATAGAGACCCATTTCCAGCAACTATCACTCCATTGTTCTAATGGTACAATGTGTTTGCTCATTGGCTCAGAAGGCTAATTGATGATTAGAAAATGTATTTACCCTTAACTTGAGTAGAAAAATAAGATGTTTTGGAATGGAATCAGTATTTTTACCCTTAAATTTAGATAAATAGATATTATGCACTTGAAATAAGTTGACTTGAGTAAATTTTTTTTATTTTTTTTAATAAATGTAAATTGTCTTACTTGATTGGCAAAGTGTCTCACTTACCTGCTCAACTGAAGAAAAAAAGTCACTTATTCTCAGAAAAAAAAGGACTTACTTGTATTTACATGTTTAGCAGTGCGGTATCTAATATCACATCCCTGATATCAGTACCGGCTAATTAGTCAATAAGGGAGCCGGTATCAGATCCAGGTATCAGATCTAGTTAATTTGCCAACAAATGTTTCCTTTGGGTTAAATTAAGACTTCTGTACCACTTGTTATCATTGTCTCATTGTTAATCATGTCTATTAAGGAACATAAAGCAGAAAAAGAACCTTTATGGGTTGATCACTACTTATTGCAAACTTCAATCAGGACGCATTGCTGCTGCTTGTTCTCTAATACAAACATCTAAGGCCTTGATAGAAACAAATAATGTGACTTCCAATGACTGCTGCATTTGGGGTATAAGATAAAAGTTATTTTATTAATTCTATTAGCAAGATTTTGGTAATTCTTCTTAATATACCCTATTAATTTTGGTGATTTTAATGGTGTGAAATGTAAGGAATTGTATGTTTCCATATAGTTAGCGACAGAAACAGAACCTGACCTCTTGGTGCTGGAATGAGGGCGCTGGTTGGCAGCCAGCTGCTGCAGGCCCAGGGTAGGACTGTGGAAGAGGACGCCGCTGCGTCGGAGCAGCTTCTGCTTCATGGCCGGCAGGCTGCTCCAATCCTGAACAAATCTCAGCACCTAGAGGGGGAGGAGGGGGACGGGAGAGACGAGACAACTCGCATTACGCTCGGTTTCAATTCGAAGCTGCTGGAGCCTTCATCTTTATCACAAATTGATGCCTCAGACGTCGGCGCCGTTTCTAAAAGCAAAACATTTTTCTCATTTTTGAGAATAGTCCTGGAGCTGAAAACAAACAATTCAAACTGAGACACTTTTCCAGACAGCTGAACAAAACTCATCAGAGCAAAAAAGAGATGTGTATACCTTTAGCAAGTCGAGAATTCAAAGAAAATCCAGCAAAGATTAAGCAAAAGGCCCCCCGGTCACCAACGCTTAATGGGCAATTCACCAACATATATTACACTTGAGAAGCGTTTATCTTCATGAATGATACACACTGTCAGAAAGAGATGACTTCTGAGGAGGAAAATTGTATTTTTTAGACAGGTTCTAGTTGTCATAAGTGTATAAGGTGCTTTTGTAGACGGTTCAAAAGCTGAAGAGGGAGTGTGTGCCTTTAACTCTTATTAAAACCACTACTATACATCATTTATGTCATATTTGTGGACATTTCTATACCTAAAGAGAATTTTAAAAGCATTTTGTATTCTTTATAAAAGAGCTTTTTAAAGAAAACCTCATTCCGCCTTATTTTATACCCACAATACGTGCTTGAGAGGGACTTTGGAAGATAAATAGCTTCAATAAGAAAGATTCCTGTTCTCTTTTCTTTTCAGGCAAAAGTCCCCTGGTTTGTCTTGGTTAAGTTACACCTACCGAGTACAACTGAAATATTAGACATTCAAATGCAGTTTTTCGAACAATTTATCTGCAGCTTGTTTTTATTTTTCCCTAAATTACAGTGGCTGCAGCAGAACTCTTACAGCACTGCTGTCTACGCCGCATCACCGCCCACATTAAACTGTTTGCCTGGTATTGATTGCGAGGGACAATCGGAGGGTAACAGGGCATAAATGATGGGTCAGAGGATGGATGCAACTCACGCCTCGGTTTTACGGAGCAACATAAACAATGCGACAGGTGGGCTGTCTGTCAGCGACTCTGATACTGCTGCGGCAGGTTTCAGGATTTAATACGTGCGGGGGTCGTTTGAGGCGATGATCCGTCTCCTTTAACAACCCTCATAAAACCGTACTTTCTCTTCTGCTGTTCTCCTCTGCGATGAGGAACCCTCACACCAACGCCCGCCTGAGGCTCCTTTCCCCATTTCTAAACTTCATCCTGCTTCCTTAGCATACCTCTCAAGTCTCCTGCACACTTTTTATCTCTGAGTCTCAGTTTTACCAGACTCAGTTCCAGAGGTCTCAGACTTTTAGTTCTTCTGATGAATTTCCTGCAAATATTTCTGTGAATAGACTCAAAATATGGAAATCTGTGAGCAACACAGACAGAAAGATGGATGGATAGAGAGATGAATGGATGGATAGATAGATAGATAGATAGATAGATAGATAGATAGATGGATGGAAGGATGGATAGAGAGATGGATGGTTCGATGGATAGATAGAGGGATGATATAGGGATGGATGGATGGATGGATGGATAGAGGGATGGATGGATGGATAGAGAGATGGATGGTCCAATGGATAGATAGAGGGATGATATAGGGATGGATGGATGGATGGATAGAGGGATGGATGGATGGATGGATAGAGGGATGATATAGGGATGGATGGATGGATGGATAGAGGGATGGATGGATGGATAGAGGGATGGATGGATGGATAGAGAGATGGATGGTCCAATGGATAGATAGAGGGATGATATAGGGATGGATGGATGGATGGATAGAGGGATGGATGGATGGATGGATGGATGGATAGAGGGATGATATAGGGATGGATGGATGGATAGAGGGATGGATGGATGGATAGAGGGATGGATGGATGGATGGATAGAGGGATGGATAGAGGGATGGATAGAGGGATAGATAGAGGGATGAATGGATGGATAGATAGAGGGATGGATGGATGGATAGAGAGATGGATGGTCCGATGGATAGATAGAGGGATGATATAGGGATGGATGGATAGATAGAGGGATGGATGGATGGATAAATAGAGGGATGGATGGATGGATAGAGAGATGGATGGTCCGATGGATGGATAGAGGGATGATATAGGGATGGATGGATGGATGGATAGAGGGATGGATGGATGGATAGAGGGATGGATGGATGGATAGATAGAGGGATGGATGGATGGATGGATGGATAGAGGGATGGATGGATGGATGGATAGAGGGATGGATGGATGGATAGAGGGATGGATGGTCCGATGGATGGATAGAGGGATGATATAGGGATGGATGGATGGATGGATAGAGGGATGGATGGAGGGATGGATAGAGGGATGGATGGATAGAGGGATGGATGGATGGATGGATAGAGGGATGGATGGATGGATGGATGGATAGAGGGATGGATGGATGGATGGATGGATAGAGGGATGGATGGATGGAGGGATGGATAGAGGGATGGATGGATGGATGGATGGATAGAGGGATGGATGGATGGATGGATGGATAGAGGGATGGATAGAGGGATGGATGGATGGATAGAGGGATGGATGGATGGGTGGATGGATGGATTGATGGATGGATGGTATTCATGCCCTGCATGGATAAAACTAATCCACCAACTGTCAGCCTCCTAACTCTCTGATGGGAGGTATTTTTAGGTCCTACGTCTCTCAGTCAGTCATCAGGCAGGTTCAATAAGCCCCTTGGCTGTCTTGTGTCTCATCTTTATTTGGTCAGTGGAATTAAGCTGAGATCTCCAAAGATTGCCATATGCACTACATTATCTCTGAAATTTGGGGGATTCCTTAAGCAGCCTGTGATTAAATTAACTTCCAAATCGGATCTGGAGCTCAATCCAAAAATATAAACAAGATTAAAAACCATTCATTTCAACAGCTATGACAAATTATGGAGGTCCACCAAAACGATAATGATATGTATCGCATATGATGTGATCGCTAACAATAAAAAAATCTGTTCCATAATTATTCAATAAAAGGTCTTTAACTCTGCAAGCAATTTAACTAGAAATAACAGGAAATGTGGCAGCATGCAAGGTACTCTGGGGGATGTAGTTTAAGAGGACAGCATCTCAGCCATTAGCTGATTACCCGATCCGTCCCGGAAGCACGATGCGTACCATCAGCTCATTTGCGCACAACCAGATATACATCCGGGTCGCCCTCGATTTTTCTTTTGTAAAAAAAACTAAATTACATTTTTCACTCCCAAAAACGGTAAGCGTACTAAACAATACTGTTTTAAAGATTAATAATGTATTTTCTGAGAAAGAAAATGCCTTAAAATCCCTGCTGTACTGGAAATGGGATCCTACGCTACTTCTGTGAGCTAACTTTTTCGGCTTTATATTGAAACATAAATCTAGTATTTTGAGTTTTATGTTTTCCTTTTGTGTTAACCTTATGGTATATAATGCGTAATCTAAAGAAAGAAACAACTAAAATGCAGATAAATATCGTGTAATCATATTTTGCCGGACTCTGAGCATGTCCGATGATGATGTCACACAAGCAGTTTAACCGAGAAAATGTGAAAAGCATCAAAATTGTCTCAGAAAAGTCATAAAACATTTTTTAAAAATACGTATTAGTATTCTTTAGCGAGTCCAGGATAGAAATAAGTAATTTTAGTACCATAATTACATTATTTATTGATACCTGGATGTATATCTGCGAATATGCAAATGAGCTGATGGTACGGATAGTGCTTCCGGGACGGAGCCTCCCTGTGCTTTCTCAACTGTGCTGCACTGTTTCAAAACTAAAGTGGATAGAGTTTGCCAGCATGAGAGGACATTATGGACAAAAGAGGAAGGGTATCGGACCCAGTGTGGCAGCATTTTAGATATTCGAAGTCTGGTTACCATGCCAACAAACAGTCTTATTTTATCACCAGAGCCAGTCTGATCTCACTGAGTACAAAAACCTAAAGCCATCGTCATCTGCAATTTGCAACAGACCAACATCGAGAGGTACAGGAAATTTAAGCCATAAAATGGATAAAATAATTATTTGCTGACTGTTTTTCAAATTTTTTACATTTTTATTTGGTGATTATTACCTAAAAGGGTAAAGCCAAAGGTTTAATTTAAAAATAAATGCTTTTTGGGCTAAATTCTGCTTTTTAGTCTTTATTTTGCATGGTATAAAAAGTATCAATTATCGATTTTAAACCTAATATCGTGATATGCTCTTTGCCAAACCACATTCACCGCCACACATCTACTGTACGAACCTCAAAGAAAGGAGACAAAACACTCATAATCTCTGTGCCTGGCGGGAAGGGCAGACCTGTATTCGATTTTCCTGGTGTCGGCTGAAGGCCTCGGGCAGGTCGTCCCAGTTGGTTAGCTTGATGTCCAGAGGGATGAAGCTCAGGTTCAATGGAACTCCGTCCTATAAACAGAGGAGACAGACGTTGGTGGGTGTAGGTTCTAATATTGGACCTAAACATGATAAAACAGCGAACAGAAAGCAAATATTTACTACACACTGTTTTATTTTTTTAACCCTCCTATTATTTTGGTACCTAAAATATATCAATTTAGTCGATACTGAACTATTTGATGCTGTTTTAAGCATTTTAGATCATCAAAATGAACCTTTTTGACGCATCTTTGGGTCCTCACTTCAAAAACAGAAGAACTAGCGTATTTATTTCTAAATATGTCTAATAATGCTGAACTATGAAGCAGTCCGTGTAAAAAAAAAAAAAGGTGAAAACCTGAAAGCAATCTGAAACAAACAAAAAAACAAGAGTTATTTGGTCCTTTGTTTGCAAAACCCAAATTGTCACTCTGTAATTAGAAACCCAATATCCAGTTTTGCAGAGTTCACATTTAATTAGTTTCATTACGTACCCTGTCTCGGTTTGCACTAAAACTTTGGGTATCTTTAGGCAAGCAATCAGATTTCTAATTACTAACTCACAAAACTTGAATCCAATTACATTCAAGTTTCTCTGGCCACACTTTATTCTTTATTGGTTTCCATGGTAATTCCTGTGGTAACCAAGCAGCTCGTTAGCGATCTCAGTTGTTTTCTCTCCTTTTTTTTTTTATGATGCACGTTTGAAGATGGTGCTTCTTCTGTGACACTTTGCATGCATTAGCATCAATAATGGAGAACAGGAAGAAAAACATGCATATACCACTAAGATTGTCCCTTTCTGCAATTATAGGTAATCATTCTGCAGTGGTCTGGCCGTAACCGTGTAATCAATGGAAAAAAATAACCAAAGTAAAAAACATTTTCCCAGTTATTACAGCTTCATTAGCTCTAACTACAGTCAATTTGAAGCCTGGGAAGCCACTTACCCTCAGAATTAACTCCAATCAACCAATAGCCACTGTGCCACACACTGGGCATATTTGACAAGAGGGAAAAAAAAAAAAAGCTGACCAGTGAAATGCCACATTCTTTCAGCAGCCAGAGCCACTTGAGGCCTGGAAATGAGGGACGTAGAAGAAAGAAAAAAAAGGATATAGTCTAAAGGTTAATACCTGCCAACAGCCGACACAGGGATTTGGAGATGTATATCAACATTAGGAAGTCTTTCCTGAGCTGCAGCGGTCTAGCTCAGAGCCCCTCGTGTTTATTTGGATTATGAAAAAATAAATATCATGGAGAGTCAGGGGAACGGTGCAGCTGGTTGTGCTGTAACAGCATGGAGCAGGATTAGAGATAGACGGAGAGAAAAAAAACTTCTATCATAACATGCAAAAAAAAAAAAATCAGTAAACTATTTAATAAATTTCTCTAAAAAAAAAAAATAAATAAATCCAGTCTCATTTAGCATCTTTAACTACAGATAAACAGCATCATGATTAAGGATGCAAAAATCAATGCATATATACATTTTGGGACTTCAACTATGAGATTTAGATTAAGCATTTTAAGTAGGTGAGAAAGCAACTATATACACTGTTGGGTACGGTGGAGGACCATAATGCGGTGGGCCAGCTTTGCCTCCAAAGGCCATGCAAATTTGTTTAGAGTGTTAAGCATCATTAAATGTTATATCCAGACATTTCTAATAGGGCTGAAACAACTAATAAATTATTGAAATTACCGTCAACTAATTTAGTATTTGATTTATCGTTAATTGTAGTGTAGAAACTCTAAAATTATGCCAAGATTGTAAAAATATATATAAACATTTTGCATTTAAGATAAAAAAAAATGTCAATATGGTCCATCCAGAACTCCTCAAGTGGAAAAGTTTGAGTTTCACCTGGTTTAATTTAATAAAAAGTCTTCTTTAAGGAATCTTTGGCTATCCAATAATTAATCAATTCATTGAAAAAACAATTACCGATTAACTCAACATATTCTCATTATCAGTTCGTATGAAATCGTACGAAAAGTTATGCACAGTATTTCTTACGTTTTGGACGTTTTTCCTCAAAAAAAAAACAGATCAGTGCGCATGCGCAACCAGACAGACGAAAAAAGCAGATCCGTGGACGGACGTAAAACTGGGAGAAACAGTGCAATAATTACTTCTTCATGTCTCTAACTAGGTTGCTTGCTGTTTTGTATCTTAGGGTTAGGGTTAGGGTTAATTGTATGTTAAATTCTATGTTATTGAATGGTACGTAAGATGCGCATGCGCAAGGATATCTTATCTCGAGGCAAGACGTAAAAATACGACGAAATACCACGAAAAAAACGTCTAAAACGTACGGAATTACGGTGCATAACTTTTCGTACTGATTATGAGAATACACTGATTAACTGCTTTACAAAATAATCATTAGTTGCAGCCCTAAATTCTGTAAAAAAAAAAACAAAAAAAAAAAAAAACACGCATAACAGATGGGTAATTAGGCTGCAAATGACACAAATCTATAGAAATACATCATTATACACAATATCTTTTTCTTTTTTCTATGGCTTTCTCATCCCTAAACTCTACAGAAAATCTGTAGACAGAGATAAAAAGGAGAAATTACTATTGGAAATTAACTATTGGATTATTTGAAAATTGAGCAAAGACAATAAACTCCCAAACAAAAGATTGTGATATTACAGTTCTCTGCAACCCCTCCACTCGCTTCATGACTGCTGGGAATACAACCAGCAACCCCCCCTGCTTCTGTTCAATCTGTTGAAATGGATAGAAACAGGAGCAAGAAAGGAGCCAATTCTTGAAGGGGAAAACTTGAAAGCGACAATATTTTGGGAGAAAATCAAATCTTGAATGAGGATCTGAGACTTGAACGGGGAGAATAGCTGTGACGATTGGACCCCTGACAGGTTATCTGTCTGTGGAATAGCAGATAGGAGCTTTGACTTAAGTAATAGTGACACTGCTCCCTGAAAAGTAGAGGCTACTCACTTCAGTAAGCATAAACTGTAAGTTAAGGTTTTTATAGGGAGGTATTAGCTGTTTTTTCAACACCTGCAACGCATCAGAAATACCTCAATTGCATTTATTTATTTAAAACATCTGGAGGAAACTGTGCACATCAGTTATGCCCACTTTATGTTGATCATTATGAAATAAAATCCCACTAAAACACGCTGATGCAACAGAAGGTTAAGAGAAATTCACAGATCGAGGGGAATTTTGCAGATTCATCCCAATCATGTAATGCAAAGACAGAATCGGTAAACTGCTACCATTTCATGAGTGGACATAAAAAAATACTTAATCCAGCTGGTATTTCTCCTCCAAGCCTCACTGACAACTCTTCATCTGATTCTGCACTGAACATCACCCCCCTCGGAGCGAATTCGACGCCTGGCCCAGGATTATCCCGATGTGACAGCTTTGCAGCCGGAATTCCACTAGTTTATCATTTAAACGACAAAGGGGGACATTTATCTCAATGGCTTATCGCCTCAGCCGCACGTAGATGACACCGCTCTATTGCCGTCAGGGAAAAATTCCTTTGGTGATTCAGTTCAGCGCTTTGGTCCTCTCTATTTAAAACCCTCTCGTCTCTTATCTGCTGCTGCGGGGAAGGAGCTTGAGCCCTCATGAATGAAACAAAAGGCCGCCAAGTATCACGACGCGATCGATACAGAGATCTGTTGGCAAGTGCCACTCGGAGACGGGGGGCCAAGGATGCACAGGACTTCAATTAGAGTCACGCTTGGGTAAAACTAGAGCTTGAATTAATCTGACGGGTGGAGGAAGCAGCAGAGGGTTTGATTATGAAGAGGGATGACCAAATGAAAGCAAAGATATCCTGGAAATATCACCACACATGAGCGTTTAGCTGCTCTATGATCAAGGTTCTCACCTCCGGTCAAGTCTTTGGTTAGAGGCTCTTTCAGCTGTGATCTACTGAAACATTTGTGGAGTCACTGAGGGGAAAATCTCTTCTCCTCCTGATGGGGAATGATTTTATTAGCTTCTTAAAATAAGAAAACTAACGGCTTTTATTTGTTCTCTGAGCAAAGCTGGTCATAATGGCCTCAGGTCAAAAGAACAGGACACTTAAAATACAAGATGGAATCACTGTTTATACCAAAGCTGCTGAGCTTAAATATATATAAATATAGAGTATTTTCATGCTCTTATATGCTCCTGACTTAATCTTAGCGATAATCCTCCCCTTGCTCCTTGTCTTGTTTAACTGGAGAATATAAATGGATTTAGAAATGCTTTATCTTTTACCACACAGCCTGAATAAATCTCCATATACAGAAAAAAAAAAAACATGTAAAACAGGCTCCTGTTGGTGGGAGTGTATTAAGGCTGAAGGCTATTACACTTTGATGTGTTGTATGGACACATTAATGCATGTTTTCTCTCAGTCTAAGCTTATTAAAGGTTAGGGAAAGCAAAGCCGTTTTGAATTATGGTTAATAATGAATCAAATCTAAATGACGCACATTATGGAAAACGTTACCTTATTTGAGGTTATATTTCTACCGTAACCTCTTAGGTTTCTACCGTAAGAAAGGAATTCCACTTTCAGTTTTCTTAACATTATAAATGTGTAATAATTTTCGGATGGCGGAATCTTTAGGATTTTCTTTAGCAGGGAAGGGAAGCTAAATACAGGGAAAACCCTCTAAAACCTGTTAAGAGGCTGCAAAGGACCTGCAGCTGGGTTGGAGGTTCATCTTCCAACAGAGCTACTATCCAAAGTTCAGATATAAATGCAGCTGAAAATATGCTGAAAAACTCCATCTAATCTGACTGACCTCGGGCTATTTTGCAAAAAAGAAGGGAGGAAATATTTCAGTCCCTAGGAGCTCTAAGCTTGAAAACTTGACACTGCAATCGCAGCAAAAGGAGGTTTAAACAAGTCCTGATTTGGAGGGACTAAAGATATACGAGTTGGAATTTCTTCTGATGTGCAAAGTTTTTCAGAACTGTGAGTCATTTTCCTTTCACTTCCCTCTCACGCAAATCAGATTAGCCAATTTCTCCTCATTTGCCACAGACTCATCACCAGCAGTTTGTTGGGAAAATAATTCAAAGAAATCTAAGGCCCCGTCCACACGAAGTCAAACCCTGGCCTAAACGCACAAATTTTTCACCAAACCAGCCTCTCATCCATACGAAGCCGGCGTTTCGGGGTCTGTAAGCTGTAATCTTTTTTTAATCAAGCCTTCAGAGTGGGAAGATTTTGAAATGCCATTTTCGCGTTTCCATCTTTAAGCTCTAACCGCATTTTTTTTCTTGAACGCATGCGTCATAGCGTCGCCTCTTAACACGCATGCGCGACACAGTATCACAACAACAATGGCGCCGTACTGTGTTGAATGGTTGCTGCTCATGCTACTCACCCTGCTGTCGGGCTTACAACAGAATCTTCTTCTTCTGGAATATCTCCAGGAAGAACAGAGCAATATCGACGACATAGTTCAGCACCTGAATTTGACTGAACCACGAAAATGGACCCGCAGGCCCATTTTCCGGTTTGGTTGTTGTATAAATATTACTGTGCATGCCCAACATTTCGTTGCCTGTTTTCGGCCATTTTTGCTTTGGCACCACAGCGCCCCTTACAGGCCTGGCATACATTTTGCAGCGTTTTCATGCATTCGTGTTTGATTATTAAACTCAGTTTCGTTTAAAACAAACTTGATAAAGATGAGAAATTATTAGTCTGTAATTAAAAAGGAAAATCAACTCCATCAATCCATCCATCCATCCCACTTATCCCAGCTGGGGTTGTGAGGGTTTGCAGGTGTCCATCTCCAGCTGTCTACGGGCGAGACGCGGAATACACCCTGGGCAGGTCACCAGTCCATGGCAGGGCAACACAGAGACAACAATTCACGCACGAGAAGCCAATTTACCCTCATTAACCTTGTTTTTGGACTATGGGAGGAAGCCGGAGTACCCAGAGAGAACCCACGCTTGCACAGGGAACATGCAAACTCTGTCCAAAAAGACCCCATGCTGGGAATCAAACCAGGGACCTTCTTGCTGCAAGGCAGCAGTGCTACCTACTCCACCACTGAGCAGCCCCTGAAAATCAACCCATACCTGCATAATTAATTTTGTCGAAATTAAAACCATCCTTATTTTTAAAATATCAGCAATTTGCTTATAATTTTAAAGTAAGAACAAGTCAAATATGAACCAGCAAGCTAGACCTTAAAACATAATCAATGGATATTAGCCAACTAAGCTGTTGGCGATACTATTTTAGACTGTGACTAACTGTATGTGCTCTCTTTCATCCTCTGACATGGGAGCTGGTTTAGAGCTCGTCTGCCTGCCTGTGTGTTTCCTGGACGGGGCGACCTGTGGAGCTGGTTTACAGCTGCCTTTTGTATCTCTGCTTCTGTCTCCTTGAACCCCAGTCGGCCTCGGCAGATGGCCATTGAGCCTCATTCTGCTGGAGGTTTCTTCCTGTTAAAAGGGAGTTTTTCCTCTCCACTGTCGCTACAAGCATGCTTAGTGAGAGGGATTGCCTTCGAGTCAATGAGTCGATGCGATCAGCTGGTTTTCCTTAGATAGAAAACTTTGACCCAATCTGACTGGATGATCTGGTTGAATTGTTTCTTAGAAGGGCCTTGTAAATTGCTGCTATATAAATAAACAGAACTGAATTAAATTATTTGGTACTTTGTTTTCCAAATAAAAAAGAGACAGTTGCTTGACTAAATGTTTAAAAGTTTGCGCCATCCCTTCGCTTTGCACTGCTCCTATTCACTGTTGCTTTTTTTTTTTATTAATTAACAAATCATGTGTAACCATGATGGAAAAGACAGCATTTTTTCTTTCATACATGGACTTCTCTAATGCTGTAGTCTCACATCTACCCTGTTTGCTAATTGGCAGAGTGGGAAAGAAGTTCAGGTTCTTTGCTGCTATTAGCAGCTCATAAAGCTGAGGAAAGATCATTGATCTTAATGGTTTTCTCAAGCAATAAAAAAAATGAAAGAATTGAATCATCTTCCAACCGTTTCTGTCTTAATTTTCCATCTAGTCTGCAGGGGTATCAGGGTAAAGGGGGATAAACCCATATAAATGTAAAACCTTTCAGATTTGAACCGTATATCATCATCCAAAGAGCCCCAGGGCCAAACCTTAGACACCCCTGGTCTATCCCAGTAACATCCATTGCAGCTTGTTGGCTGCAACATGACAAAATGAGGAAAAACTTTTGCAAGGCTCTGCAGGAGGTGAAAGTGCCTCAAGTGTCAGAATAATCACTGTCAGGCTGACTCGGAGCATAAAAAGCTGCAGAAGCGTACCTTGGAGTAGAGATATATGCGGTCTGTGTACTGGCTGGCGCAGAACTGCAGGGCCGGGTAGACGAGCCGGGAGGCGGTGGCGTCAGCTTCATCTTTGCCCTCATCACCCCCATTAGCATGGAGAGCAGAAGATGAACACGGCTCAGCTCCGTAGTCTGCAGGGAGACAAGAGGAGGCTGACTAATATCTCACTGAGCATATATTATTGGTTCATTATTGGCTTTTCTGGCTTTATTGGTACTCCGCCTGCTCCTTTGGTAATGCACTGAACAGCACAGACATTACACTGCAGAAGATTTTAGCATTAATTATGCAGAAGATAATATTGGGAAAATATGACATCTGTGTACTGTATTCAGTCAGATTAGAGAAATGACTTTGTATTTATGCTTATTGCTTTCAAACATTTATGAGAGAATCGGAAATTAAGCGTTGGGGTTATTACCTCTGATATTTCTGTCTGTGGATGTAACTATAAAACGGGTAAAGATTTAATAATTTGTGTTATTTTAACACGAAGCATTAAAAATATTAATCAGGAATTAGTTTTAATAAAGTTAAAGCAATGTTCTTGAAATGTTGAAGTATAAATGGCCTCTTTGACATATGTCTAATTTCAACAAAAGCAAAATGAAATTAGTAAGGTTTATTATTCAATAAAGGGATTACCTTAAAGCAACTGTACATAGAAAATATCTTTAAATCAAAAGTTTTCCTAATATTTTCAATTACCAGCTTAGCTACTCTATGTTACATGTTAGACCTCTTCTGATTGGCTGATAAGATTCTTGTAATATCTCCTTCTCCGCATGATTTCTCTATGAACAACTACCTTAATAGGAGCACCTAAGAAACCTTTAAACCCATCAAGGACTCCAGCTCTTTATAATCTGCACCAACGAGGGGTATTGGTGGTTCTGGTGCTGATTAAAGCCGGGCAATTAATTGCATTTGCAATATAATCTCAATTTAACAAAAGGCAATTTTCATTTCAACAGAGAAAGATGCTAGATTTCTCACTGCTGTGGGTTTGCAGCCGAAAAGGAGGAAAGAGTTGCTGCTATGGTGCAGATCCATGCATGCAAGAAGAATTACCAACATTTTCCTACAAAAGTTACAGTAAAGTTTTGCAACACTCTCAATCAAGCCTCCAAAGTCAAAACATGAAACCTTAGATTGGAACATCTACATCAGGCATCCCCAAAGTCGGTCCTCGAGGGCCGCTGTCCTGCAGGTTTTAGAGGTTTCTCTGCTTCAGCACAGCTGATTCTGATGATTGCAGTTCAGCAAAAGCTTGTTAATTAACTATCAATGTAAATCAGCTGTGCTGGAGCAGGGAAACCTCTAAAACCTGCAGGACAGCGGCCCTCGAGGACCGACTTTGGGGATGCCTGATCTACAAGTTTGCGGTCAATTCAAAGAAAAATCAAAATAAAATTGCACTATTGGTTAGGAATAATTGCAATTTTGACTTTTAGCAAAATGGTTCAGCCCTGGTGCTGATGGGTTCCTACAATTCTGAAACTTTGAATTCATCCTCCATTTTTATTTTTTTTTTTAGATTAACAGGCATTCAATCCAAAAGCCAGACCTGAAAAATCTGACACCTAAAAAAAAAAAAAAAAACATACATCAGCCCCATCTGAAAACATAAAGTTGTAAATATCCACGTTTTTAAGATTGCAATCGACTGAAACTGAGCTTAAAACTCAAAGAAGCTCTAAATATATTAACTTTAAGTCCAGAGCTACTTTTTTTCCCCTTCCTCATAAAATAATCCCAACTGCTTCTTGAAGATATAAAAACCCCAAAAGAGAACAAATCAAATAGTTTTCCACTCAGCATCCAGGCATCATTAAGAGTTTTTCAATCCTATCAGTACCTACTATAAATTTGCCCCATTCCACTATTTCCTATTAAAATTGGCAACACTATTAGGTCGATTTTTTTTTTTTTAACGTTCTATTGATGGCTTCTAATAAATTCGCCTTCAGACTCGACTCATCCAACTCACTAAAGCAAAAAAACAAGTCCAGTGTTGTGTAATATTGCTCCGGCATCTTTGATGGGGAACCGTCCAATTTATTTTTCACAACTTTCACCCAAGAAGTTGCAGAACAAACGGATGGAAGCACAGCTAGAGGGAGAAAAAAAAGAGTGATAAAATGACAGGCACGGTTGGGGAGAAACAGAGAAAGAGTGAGCAGGTCATTAATGTCAGCCATGTAGCTCGCTCATGCTGCCAGCATCTAGCAAGAAAAGGTCAGGCGCTGGAAATGAGACTGCCACTGTTCGACCATGCTTCATTTAGACAATGACCTATAACACTCTAATAATACTTGCCTTAAATCACTCTGCGTGGCCAGTTGTCTGCCTTGTCACTGTGTGTGTTCATGAAAATGCGTGTGTGGTCATTTGGTCGGTAATGGGGATAAAGAACTGACACAGCCTGATGTGTGTAACAAGTGACTGCTGTTAAGGAAACGCTGGCAGGTACCTACATGGATCCCTTCAGGTTATCGGACACATTTCTGGCACTAAATGGGAACGCCTGAGGAAGCTAAGAGATAAAGAGAAGAGATAAAGAAGGCGCTAATTGGAGCAAAGACCAACCTATTGATTTTGAGTTAATGGAATCTCTTAGTACTCCATGTTTGCTACCATTACAGAAATATAGAAAATATCTCCAGACGTAGCAAATATTATTTCCTTCTCCATTTCTTAATGTGAGCAATAATCCAGTCTATTCAAACCTCCAAAGGAACTCATAAATCTATCATATATATATATATATATATATATATATATATATATATATATTTATATATGTGTGCTAAACTGCTGGTGTACCATTTTTTAATAGTTTTAGATATCTCTCTAAGAATAAACATTGCATAGTAGCAGCAACTTTAATTATAGAGTCAAGAGTTGGAATCGTTTTTCAGTGTTTAGTCCCGTTTCTCTCCTAGACCTATATAGCTATGAGCTTACCTTTTACTGTGACTAACTATACACTACCGTTCAAAAGTTTGGGGTCACATTGAAATATCCTTATTTTTGAAGAAAAAGCGCTGTACATTTCGATGAAGACAACTTTAAACTAGTCTTAACTTTATAGAAATACACTCTATACATTGCTAATGTGGTAAATGACTATTTTAGCTGCAAATGTCTAACCTGACTCCGCCAGATGGATTTGCTCCGCATAGCCATCTGGAAACCTTCAGTTGAAGTCATTTTGGGAAGGGGCGAAAATACTGATTAGCTGATTGGCCTATGTTGGTGATAGACGGGCCAAATAAACCAATCAGATCAACGAAGCATATGACGTACTAACAGCCAGGCTACTCTTGCCGAAACCAGTTGGGAGAAGAGCAAAAGCATCTTTTCCTCTGAGGAAAGCCTCCAGAGCAGTGTTTTGCTCTTCTTTCAGTGAAGAAATACTCTGTAATTCCGATAAAACTTGCTCGATAGCCACGCTAACGCTAGTTTCATCGGCTGAAGCCGCCATGTTCTTTAGACTGAACTGTCGCGCTTCTCGTTGCGTCACACCTAGACCCGCCTCAAAGCCAACGCTGATTGGACGTTCGTTTGGTGAACGGCTCCAAATTTTCTTTAAAGGAGAGTCTCCAGACTGATTAGCGAGTGAAATCTTGAAAGCTCGTGAGATCAGGATGGTCTCACGAGGCTAGCAAATGTCTGGTTTTTGGTGCAATATCTACATAGGTGTATAGAGGCCCATTTCCAGCAACTATAACTCCAGTGTGCTAATGGTAAAATGTGTTTGCTCATTGGCTCAGAAGGCTAATTGACGATTAGAAAACCCTTGTGCAATCATGTTCACACATCTGAAAACAGTTTAGCTCATTACAGAAGCTATAAAACTGACCTTCCTTTGAGCAGATTGAGTTTCTGGAGCATCACATTTCTGGGGTCATTTAAACGTTAAAATGGCCAGAAAAAGAGAACTTTCATCTGAAACTGGACAGTCTATTCTTGTTCTTACAAATGAAGGCTATTCCATGCGAGAAATTGCTAAGAAATTGAAGATTTCCTACAACGGTGTGTATTACTCCCTTCAGAGGACAGCACAAACAGGCTACTCAGGGTACTATTTAATGAAGATGCCAGTTGGGGACCTGTAAGGCGTCTGTTTCTCAAACTAGAGACTCTAATGTACTTATCTTCTTGCTCAGTTGTGCAACGCGGCCTCCCACTTCCTTTTCTACACTGGTTAGAGCCTGTTTGTTTGCCATTAGAACACTGGAGTGATAGTTGCTGGAAATGGGCCTCTATACACCTATGTAGATATTGCAATGTGACCCCAGACTTTTGATTGGTAGTGTATGTCCCCTGTTTCATCTTGTTTGATATGAAAACTGGCTAAGAGTTTATCTACTTAAGTGCTTTTTTTCCATTGATGATATCTTCTCTATTATACCAAGTATTTATGGATAAGTGCATCTATGTTCCTTTTGCGTGTCTGCTTCAGTCTGCTTGGACCCCAAGTCTGCTTTTTGCAGAAAGCAGCTCACACTGAGTCTGGTCCTGCTTGGGTTAAAAGGGAGCTCCACTGCTGCTGCATGCATGCTCAGCATGAGGGATTGCTGCAGAGTCAGCGATGCAAAGCAAGCAAATATCTACCGTGACTGCATGTTCATCAAGGCGGAGCCAATGCTGCAATGTTGACAACTCAATGCAGTCAGTTCGGGTCCTTGGATACTTTTAACCAATCTGTCTGTATGCTTTGATTAAACTTTCTCTGCAAAGTGTCTTCAGGTGGAAAGTGTTGTCAAACGGCATTAAATAAAATGAATTACACTCAACTGTAAAGCACGGTAGTGGAAGGCTGATGACTTGGGGTTGCTTTGCAGTAACGAGACTCTGGCAACATTCAGTCATCTATTAAGTCCTTAGTTGTAAGTAAAATAAAAATGCTACAATTAATCTGTTATTTATTATTAAAAGCTTCTCTGATTGAGAGTCAGCACCTGTATGAAACTAGATGTGATGGATGTTTAACGCACTCGAATAAAAAAAAGAAAAGCATCTAAATTTCTGTGAGGCTTAATGAGTTTTTTAGTTTGTCCCACTGATTAGATTGTGTACCTTTTGTTTGGTCAGGGTCAACGGCGTAAATATCGGTAAGCAGAGACAGCAATTGCTTACGGGCCCCCGACCTCTTAGGGGCCCCATCACTGACACCTGGTGGACCCCCTACGTAATTGTTGACTAGGACGTCTCTATGCAAATGTAATGGTACGACAAATTCCTCTTAAACTCACCTGATACTGAAGTAACTGACCATACCGTATTTATACCGCAACACATGCCAGATTTCAACATGATGGTGAGCCGTTTCAACACGACACCAATAGCAAAGCAGACAGTGGTACTTTTAATTACTATGCTAATAACTTTGTATAGTTCATTAGACGGTTGGTAAAAAAATACACTCATATAATACGTTTCAAACCGCAATAAAGATCTTAAAAGAACAACGTATTTGAGTATTTAATTTTTTACACTGCGACTTGGGTAACCCAGAGTGTAGATTAAAACCATACTCGTTACGTCCAATGTGTTAGCAACAATGGATACCAAAAAGAGGTACTTATGCGGATTCCAGAAAAGAAAAAGGAAAGAAGAGCTGCTGGAAGAACGGAATAAAACTTCGCAAAATGAACACATTCTTTCAAAGAACCGAAGAGGGAGTGGTGGACGTTGCTGCTGCAACAGTGAGTTAAGATTGTGACCGATGGCTTGTTGTGCTAACATCAGACATCCCAAGTCTCCTGGAAGTTCCAGGAGTCTCCCTGATATAGATAGTTGTTCACAGATGCTTGTGAGTTGAATTGTCCTGGATTTTAGACTACGCTAGGTTTTTTTAATGCGAGTAAGAGCGTGCAGGTTGTACAATAATTTGTGCATCATGTGCGGATTAGAACTACTACGATTGGTTCGATAAGCATCTCCACAAGATGAGTTTTTGGAACTTGGGATGTCGGTAACATGTGGTGGTGTGCTGTCACCAATGGTGCCATTCAAGGTGCTCAGTAACTATTTTTCCGGATGTGATGTGTGATCATATACTACTGAGAATTGCATAATTGTATCTTCTTGGCTGATTTGAACCTTTATCACGTGTTGTACTTCATATGGGGAACACCCAGATGATCTTGCTTATGGGCCTATTGTTGTGGCATTTCGCCGTCAGTCAGGGTGCCTAACAAAGACACAAAAGTCTCGATAAATTCAGGAACAAATATATTTCTACAGCAGGAACCAATATCGCCGCAGCTTATTTTATATAGGTTGTTTTTTTACTTTATAATAGTATATAACACTGAGATATCCAGCCCGGATTACAACAATTGATTTTTTTTTTGTGCCACTACAGTATTTTATGAGTTCTTTCTACGCCGCTGCATCAGTTACTTTTATCTGTTTAATGCCAAGGTGAGACCTCCCTCATCAGTCATCTCTTTACCTTAGCCTGCCCTATTATTTTGTCTGACGTCCTTTTTACTGCACTTTCCCTCCATCTGGCACACACTGTCCTGATCTCAGCCTGCAGTGGGTCGCTCCGTGTCTGAAAATACCACGATAACAAGATGGAGGCGTTGGTTTCTTTTTTGTTTTTTAGGACACCAGTGCTCTCTCATCCATCCTTCTGGCCTACTACACCTGTAATGAAACCCAGCAGCTCTGCATTGTGCCTCCCAGTATATTTGCTGTAAGCATTTTTTTTTTGTACCCCCCCCTTCTTCTGTTTGCAGTGGCGGAATGCACCAGCTGCATTAAGTGGGCCATTTATTCGAAGGGGGCAATTCATCTTACAAAGCCGTCTTATTAGACTGTCACTTACACAGTATGAACGGTGCCTTCAAAACACCCCAAGGGATTTATCTGTTATTTTACTGCGAGAGACAGAAAACAACGCCTAATTGGACTGAGTCATCTCGTCTTCTGCGGCAGTGAAACAAAAAGGTAACAAAAAAAAAAGCAGGGGGGGGAACGCACGGAGCGGGCGTTTGAGCCAACGAACAAACGGGTATCCGTGTTTAAATGTTCCCACAGCATACAGATAGAGTGACAGACAGAGCGGAGAGAGGGAGACAGTCGGAGAGGTGGTGGAGGGGTGGAGGAGTGATTGCCTGTCTGTGCTGCGCGGAAAGTAATCTCAGAGCAATCAAGAGGCGGGGGCGGCCGACAGCTCCTCACTTCTGAAAACCACAGGCAGGTAGAGAAAAATCATTAGGCACCACTCCTGACCCCATAGGTCACTTTTATTGGACAACCACTGTGTTTTGTATTAGACCCCCGCTGATGGAGACAGACTGCCTAAGTCACGTAACTAATAAACCAACAGGACGGACACATAGATGTTTTCCTCAAATTAAATACCGTCATGCATTCTGGGAGCAGGGTTTTTAGAGGAACTTAGGAGGGGAGCGTCTCTGCGATGAGCTGTCTGTGTCCTCCTGTAATCCCTGACTCACTCACTGATGCTGAGATCAGAGCTCTGTGGATACCATCTGTTGCACCAGTCCTCGCTTCTCTCTCTGAAGATGCTACTTAACCACTCCGGCTGAAAGTTTCTCAGAGCTGCACGGACAGATATTAGTTGTCACCGAGGAAAAGTGCGCGTCTAAAGGGCACATGGAGTGGGGTAGGGGGGTGCGAGGTCGGATCTCCTGCAGCGCCTCTTTAGTGCTGCCATTTCTGATCGACAGTGAAGCTTTTATCTCTCCCCTAGAGTCAAGTCTGAATAGAGGCGGTTTTCTTTCTTTTTTTATTTTTTATTTTCCAAAGAAAGCAGCTTTCACTCACCTTTAGTGCGTTTTTTTTTCCAGACTAAGTGTGTGTGGGGGGAGAGAGAGAGAGCAAATGCCTCTGCAGGGGGAAGCAGCGGTGGGATTCAATGGCTGAGCGTCGGGGATGTGGGGGGGTGCACAGGTAGTCACAGAGGGGGGAAATTAACCACTCCACAGACTGAGCACTAATAGATGCCAAACTGTGCGTGATTTGAGAAGAGGAATGTGTCAAGGTGTTGCACACTGATCTCATAATGTTAGAGGGTAATAGAGGTTGATAGCTTGCATGTTAAAACCTAAATCTCTTATGCTTCACCCCCTCTTATGCTAAATCTCCTGCAAAAAAAAGCTCAGTCACAGCTTTCTCAGAAAGTACTCACTAGGCTTCAACTTTCCCACCTTTTATAAGCACACATTTCATGTAGTTTATAGGTACTTTATGGGATATATTGTTTTTTTAACAAATAAAAATCTCAATTGTCTGAACTGTATCTCCACCAGCTTTTGTTTGTCTCTGCAAAAGGGGTCTGCAACCTTTAAAACCCAAAGCCATTTTACCCAAAGTCCAGATCAATAAAAGTCAATTAGAGCTGCATATATCAAATACATTTTTGATCAAATAAAAACATATTAAAGATGTTCAATGGAAAATTTGTTGCTATTTTAAAAAAACCCAAATTTAATTTGCATTTTCAGGTTTTTAAAATTTCTGGATGTTGGTATCTGTTATGTAAATCAAACATTGTTTCTAAGATAATTATAAAAAAAAAAAAAAAAAAAAAAAAAGATATAAGAACATAAGTGGTTCTTTTAGGGTCATTTTGTTGTGGAAATTCAAAAGCTTCTAGAACTGGCACATTCAACACCACTGGTTCTTTATTTATTTTAGCAAAGATTAAGAGCCGTCTTTAAACCTGTGGCTGCGGAGCTGCAGGTTGCACACCCCTGCTTTAATGGATAGTGCAAGGCCAGGTGTGGACTTTGACTGGACCATTTTAACATGTGCATATTTGCAGCAGGGTCCTGTAGGTTAGATGTGTTCTTGCTTTAGTGATGGCTGAATAACTTCCCCAGCATGTCATCTAGCTTGACCTTCTTCCATAAAGGCCAGATCTGTGGAATACAAGACCATTAGTGCTCCTTTAGACAGGTTTTACCACCAAAGCTCTGGAACTCAGACACCTCATGATCTAAGCTATTAAATCTGAGGGTACGTGTCAAACCAACTTTGATCCAACCCATCATTTAAAAACCCAACAAATATCTCAAAGTATCTCCATCTTTTAAAGGAAGCACCCAGGTCTCAGCTTTTTTTAGCCTCTGCTGGCTTGGCTTTTTTTAAAGGTCCTCATATTGCAACTGTTGTAATTAGGGTATTTGTAATTAGTGCAATTTATTGCTTCGTGTATCCCACTGAGACAGAAGCAGTCAAACACAGAGGTCTTAATTTGCAATATTACACACTGTGTAATTGGGAATTTGTTTTCCTTGCGTCCCTCGGAGACACGCAGACGGGCACGTGTAGAACCGGAGTGGACAGGGAAGCCAGGGTTGAGTTTCAGGAATGAGCAGGTGCAACGCCGGAGCTGGAGTGGCTTTTATGTAATTAGCCCTCACTCCACATTATTAAAAAAAAAAAGCGGCTAATCACAAGCTTGTCGGCCTGCCGGACAGGGACAGGACGTCTGTGCTGTAATTTGGCGCTCCTTGCAGGTCAGCTTAGAGCTGTAGAGTTCTATTCAATATCTTCAGCTGCCTCCTAATTTCAAGTGTAGAAATAGGCTCTACCTTCAACTAGATGCGACAAGGAAATAAGAATAATAATGCCAAGCCCCATATGGAATGAGATATAGACCCTTATTGGCTGGAGCGCTGATATTAACAGCATTATATGTGCAGGTGACAGTGTGGCACCAGCCAATTTCCCTAGATATGAGAAGGAAGAGATTGCAGGTGGGATTTACCCTGTGTGTGGTCAGGGGAGAGGCAGCCGCCACTGGCAGCCATGTTGTCACCTCCCTCCCTTGCTGGTTGTTTGCATTTGAGCCGAAGCTTATCCTTTTCTTGTGCTTCTTCCAGCTTGTGTTTGTCTTCCAGAGGCTCACGCTCATTCTCAGAGCCGGAGAGGACTGTGGACTCTTGACCAGTTTGGGCTTGAGGAGGCCTTGGGGATCCTGGGGGAGCAGAAAGAGAAACTGCTTTTATACAATGTGTGTGTCTGTGAAGTTAGCTGATTTCTACATGAAACAATTCTTAATGTCCAGGAGTACCTAGACCTAGGAGAACAACCTGACAGAAAGGAATAAACACCTGTCACTCTCCTTCCACCGACTCATGTACCAAACCAGCAAAAACATTGGCTTAGCGAGCGGATTATGCTCTCGTTTCATTGTTTTGCTAATTGCTCACCACTGTCATGTGCAATCAAACCCAAACAAACCATATTTGAAAGCAATTAGTTGGTCTGAATGTGGCTGCGGCTGAGGGCGGCCAACAGGATTCTCACCACTGATGGGGGCTCAGAGCGAGCGGTAGACCTCACTCTGACTGCCTCTGGTAGTAAATACCTGTGATGGAAAATATATATATTTTTTTCTTTGCAGTGTTATGGTTGAATCTTCTCAGCTTCCAGAATCATTTACCAGCTGGAGTTAAATTCCCGACATTATAATTGAAAAATATCTTTAAAATTGTCTTTTTATTTGACTAAAACGGCATTTGATGAGAAGACTAAGACCTCAGTAGTTCAGCGCTAACAACCAAAGCAATATATATTCAAGATGGATTTTGTGGATACAAAAAGTTAGCCTTGTGAAACCATCCTGATCTCGCGAGCTTTAAAGGTTTCACTCGCTAATCAGTCTGGAGACTCTCCGTTAAAGATAAAATTTGGAGCCGTTCACCAAACAAACGTCCAATCAGCGTTGGCTTTGAGGCGGGTTGAGGTGTGACGCAACGAGAAGCGCGACAGTTCAGTCTAAAGAACATGGTTTTATCGGAATTACAGAGTATTTCTTCACTGAAAGAAGAGCAAAACACTGCTCTTGAGGCTTTTCTCAGAGGAAAAGATGTTTTTGCTCTTCTCCCGACTGGTTTCGGCAAGAGTTTGATCAATCAATTGGCTCCTCTTCGTCGTCGCTCTGTCAGTGCGTCATATGCTTCGTTGATCTGATTGGTCTATTTGGCCCGTCTATCACCAACATAGGCCAATCAGCTAACCAGTATTTTCGGCCCTTCCCAAAATTACTTCAACTGAAGGTTTCCAGATGGATATGCGGAGCAAATCCATCTGGCAGAGTCAGGTTAACAAAAAGTGACTGGACAACTCAAACACGGTTGGCAACTCCAGGTAAGGTGAAATGAGTAAAAAATTGTGACTTTCACCTGCAGCTAAAACTACACAATATGCATGATTACCAAATTTGAATGAATTGTTTCTTGGCATGAGAAGCACCTTTGGAAACAACTTCCTTAAAATCCCATAATCACTGCTGCCACCCTCTGGTTTAGGAGGGAACTGCTTGCTATGCCAAATAATGTTATAAAATCCTTTAAAAAATTCCTACATCCTGATTATGATATGGATCATCACCAGAATGTAATGGATTATTCCTTGGACTGAGTTAAAGATTTCATTAAAATATAAAACCACTGACGGACAAACACATATCTACTAAAAGCATAACCTCATTGGCGGAGGTAATTAAATGGTTAACTACAAGCATGAGCTACGAGAACAAGCAGAAGATTGCTGCAGTTCTGTGTTTTGGCCACAGAGGGCAGTATCATTAGAAAAACTCAGTAATGCCTCTTTAATGGTTAGTTTATACCGGAGGCTATTCGAAAGAGCTGAGGTCGAACAGCAGCACCGCATGAAGATAGAGGAGCGGAGATCCTTGAAGTTGAAATTATCTGAACTTTTCTATGAAATCGCAACACGGCAGCCAATCAGGGACTGGTTGTAGGTGAAGCTTTTTTCACTTAAAATTGAATATAGAGAAAATAATATTAAAAAGGGTATAAATAAGGAATGGTCTCAAGAGGATTTTAGATGGCTTTAAAAAAAAAGCCGTTTTAATTTAGTCCTAGGACTGTCACTGCCCACTGCCCAGCATAGGGGCTTTCTGTGAGGATAGATTTACAAGGCAGCCCTGACGAATCCTAGCCTGGGTGCCATTCCGAACTTAGTCCCGCCCACAACGTTTCAGGTCAGGAAGTTCGTTCTGGCATTGCTTAATAGTAGCGCGAGTATGCTCGCACAATATCTGGCGGGCCAATCAAATTGTCAGGGCGGGCTTTAGACGATGATGGACAGATGATCAACAGTAACGTAATCAACCACGTCACCAAAGCGCACTTGGGTGACAACAACAATGGCTGCCGCTGGAGAGTTGAGGTGTGTAGATTCTGCTATTAGGTCTGTTCTAGAAGATATCGACAGCAAATTAATTTTAAAGGAGGAAAAGAGAAACGCGATCAAGGCTCATCTTCTTATTCTAGGCGTGAAACTGCACGCTTTGATTTTTGTTGACAACAACTGTGCCTGGCTTAACATACGTCACGCACTCCGTTGCTCTTATTGAACCAAAATCGACTCTTTTTTTTCAGAGCTTCTGGGGCTTTTCAAAAAAAAAAAAATGGTTTCCCAAGGCGATTTAAAAGTTGATCATGAAGAAAAATTTTGCAGCAGGCTGTGATGTTAAGTTTCACCTGTGCTTTTATTGTGAAATGCCGACAACAAGACCTTGACAGGTAATGAGATGGGGTTGCCGGGGGTAACAGCAGCTGAGGGTCTGGAAGGCTGGTGATTTACTAAATATTAAACAATCATTCCAGCCACTAAATAATATAAACATGCCAACTATTATACTTAATACCAGCACAGGAAGGACATGTGATGTCATGCAATAACATATCAGGAAACAGGGAAACAACTAAACATCTGCTGGGATGGTGACGTCATCGGTCGTATTAAAAATAATTAATGTTAAAAACAGAATCAGCACAAATAACACTTTTACCTGCATATATGAAGTAGCACTGAAAAAGTAGGCTACGGTATATAAATTTGATTCAATTGAAATCTAAATAGGGGAATATTTGATTACTGGGTGACCTAAAAAATTATCTTTACTATCTCTGAAACAACAGCAGCACATTTTATTTATTTTTTTTTTTTACATATTACCATTTCAAATGCACAAAGCTGCACTAATGAAGCAATAATCACTTAGCCTGTTAGCTGAGTTTTTTTTTTTTTTTTTTTTTTTTTTTTTTTCATCAGTGGCATCTGTAACACAGTGCATCTGAAATGCAGAGCGTTGAACTACTGCGGGGTTCGTGGAAATAAAGCCCTCACTCTGAATAATCGTAAATGAAAGAAAAGAGTAAATATTTACCAAAACGATTTTTTTTCAGGTTAATTTCACAAATTTACAAGAAAAAATTGACATTTTCTGATAAGAAAAAAAGTTAATTTACAAAATTTTCCCTTTTTTTTTTTTTTTTACATCAGTGGCATCTGTAACACAGTGCATCTGCTGAAATGCAGAGCGTTGAACTACTGCGGGGTTCGTGGAAATAAAGCCCTCACTCTGAATAATCGTAAATGAAAGAAAAGAGTAAATATTTACCAAAACGATTTTTTTTCAGGTTAATTTCACAAATTTACAAGAAAAAATCGACATTTTCTGATAAGAAAAAAAGTTAATTTACAAAATTTTCCCTTTTTTTTTTTTTTTTTTTTTTTTACATCAGTGGCATCTGTAACACAGTGCATCTGCTGAAATGCAGAGCGTTGAACTACTGCGAGGTTCGTGGAAATAAAGCCCTCACTCTGAATAATCGTAAATGAAAGAAAAGAGTAAATATTTACCAAAACGATTTTTTTTCAGGTTAATTTCACAAATTTACAAGAAAAAATTGACATTTTCTGATAAGAAAAAAAGTTAATTTACAAAATTTTCCCTTTTTTTTTTTTTTTTTTTTTTTTACATCAGTGGCATCTGTAACACAGTGCATCTGCTGAAATGCAGAGCGTTGAACTACTGCGGGGTTCGTGGAAATAAAGCCCTCACTCTGAATAATCGTAAATGAAAGAAAAGAGTAAATATTTACCAAAACGATTTTTTTTCAGGTTAATTTCACAAATTTACAAGAAAAAATTGACATTTTCTGATAAGAAAAAAAGTTAATTTACAAAATTTTCCCTTTTTTTTTTTTTTTTTTTTTTTTACATCAGTGGCATCTGTAACACAGTGCATCTGCTGAAATGCAGAGCGTTGAACTACTGCGGGGTTCGTGGAAATAAAGCCCTCACTCTGAATAATCGTAAATGAAAGAAAAGAGTAAATATTTACCAAAACGATTTTTTTTCAGGTTAATTTCACAAATTTACAAGAAAAAATTGACATTTTCTGATAAGAAAAAAAGTTAATTTACAAAATTTTCCCTTTTTTTTTTTAGAAAATCTGAAAAACTTATTTCAAAATGTCAGAACTTTGGGTCAGGAAAGTATTGCTACTTTATAAGGTCATGTTTTGGTTTTTCCCTAAAAACTTCAAAAGAACCAACTTCAATATCTGCAAAACTGGTTGCCATTTTTTTCTCACAGTTGCAAAATTTTAAGTCTAAAGTTTTTTCTAGAACGATGGTTCGGGACACAGAGATGTTCCTGTCCCTCCCATGTAGTTGGTATCCTTGGAAACCAAGGGTTCATAACTTCCCGACAACTATGACGCAAATGACACAAGAATGTTTCCACAGATTATTTACACTGCAAAAAATAAATCTAAAGTCATTTTTTCTCAAAATAAGTGCATTATTTCTTGAATTGAGGAGGTAAGTGGGACACTTTGCCAATGGAACAAGACTATTTAAATTTAAAACAAGACTAAACAATTGCTTTTTTTATATTAAGTGCATATTATCTAAGTATCTTTAGGAGGAAAAACACTCATTCCATTTGCAACTCATATTAGGGTAAATACACTTAAATTAAGACATTTTTATTTATTTCTAGGTTGTTGTTTTTTTGCTGTGTAGGTGGTAGCCATGGTTACCTTACCAATGGTTGTCACCGGTTTAGCATATACAGCACCAAAGATCAAAGGCTCTGTCATGTGCAGGAGGAGGCCTTCAATTAATTTAAGCACCTTTATTTGATCAGACTTCT